CCCCCCCCCTACTAACATGGATACTATCTAATATCGTACTGTTTTGACTCTGTTTCGGCATCTTCGCGATTTGATGGGATTTGTGGTGCCTCCATAACTTGAATGGTGTTGGGACGGCAGTCGTCATAGCAGGTAACTCAATGGTCCATCCAATGCATATCCGACGTACATACCGCACGCGTATGCATACTGTTAATGTTGTAAGGAAACTCGAGTACAGTGATGTAAAAGATACTTTAGTTTTAACACTTGAAAATATAACGTTTAAAATAAATTCACAATGCGCACAAAAGTCATTTTCATATCGTACCAAAATTATTTTTACGTTACACAAACTATCAATTTTGAGTATAAAAATGTATGATAAGAATATGTTTTGAATACTTCAAAAATAAATAAATACTCAAAAGACTAGATGCAAGTATTTGCTAAGAAAAAAGTACTTGGCTATAGATACAAATATATTTAAAAGAACCTGGGAGGATAAAATTTACATCACTGTGTCGAACATGAATGTCAAAGGGTATTACTAATATCTTGTATCTTGTTGATTGACCTCTGCAGGGAAATTGCGTATTATTCACATCTTGTGAATATCAAATTATGGTTCCAAAAAAATTTTTGCACTTTGTCATCCGCTAGCAATATATTAGATGACACATTATTTGTATTTCTCTGCACGCAGTTCGCACATCAAATTATTATCGGCTCTGGACTCGTCATGGGCTGTTAACGCCAGCAACGGACTGCAAGCACACGGACATCCTCACTGGTTGCAATTGCAGCTGGCCGCTGCTAAGCTGCTAGATCTCGCGTTGCTGTTGCCCGCGCACAGATTACCACAGTTTCAGATGTAAGCGGAAAGAGAAAAATTTTGAAGCTACGTTTATTTCAGTCTAAGATTATCTATATTATCCCGTTTACAGGTATAAGTGGGCGTTCGTCGGAGACGCAGCGGCAGGTTGTACAGATAACAACAACTTATCCTCAGATTTTGTGCCGCATATTACAAGAATAGCGAAATTGATGGACAGTAAGGTGAGTTACTGCGATTGATCTTGCTTTCGTGACATGATAAATTATTCGGCACAGTTGAGTAGCATAAGAGTAATTTAATGAATGTTAAGAAATGAGAATATATAATTTAATAATTGTAATTGTAATCTTCTGTCGAACATTCCTCGGGTAACAGGCATCTTTGTGCTTTCTCGTCAAAAACGTACTCTTCCTTGCATTCACATCCACTTCTGCACGGTGTGTAACAATCCACTTCATCCGGCTTCGAACATGTGAATTGGCAAAGACAATGCGTCCAAACCGATTTGTCGTCGCATTCTTGAATCTTCCTCGAACGCATGTAATCAAATTCGTCGTAATCATATCCGGGAATTCGGTGCTTGGTGTATCTATAAACTTTTTCAGACAGTTTGTACCAGTTAAACTGCTTATCGAAGGGACTCCTCTCAAAAGAATCGATACTGTTTCTAAAAACGTAATTTGAACTAGGATACGTGCCGTCTTGATTCTCTGTGTCATCGAAATCGTTTGCAACGTAAAAATCATCTTGTCCGATACTGTTGTATTCTTTATTGAAACTTTTCGAGCGGTCCGTTGATAAATCTTCATAGAAATCAAAATCGTTATAGTCACCCATGTATTCTGTGATAATTACAATAATTAAGTTATCGTAATATTTATTAATTGAATACGCACATTAGTAAAGTATGAATAAAATTAATTATTTTTATTTATTTAATTAAATAAATATTAAAAAATGAAATAGATTATTATGCGATGTTTTATGAATCGCGTTTCTTGTTTAATACTTTTTATTTGTCTCATGTTTAAAAGACTTAATTTAAGAACAAAAAAATTAAATAACTTTCTCGTTTAAGAGGAGATGGAATTGATTAAATTAACTTCGTAAGAAAGGCTATTCTATTTGTAGCTATCTCTTCATTAATATATATTTGTTCTCATAATTAATGTCAATTAACTTACATTAAAATCATATTCAATTATATCAAGAGCATTCAGAATATGATTACCATAAACAAAAAAAAAATGAATAAATGAATTGCTTCACTAACACTTTTTTAAATTTTATCTTTTTTTTATCAATTCTAAGATTCTAAGAATTGATTTTTCTTTCAATTGTCAAAGTACAATTTAATTTTTAAATTATAAATTTAAATATCCCGTATAAACAAAAGAAAGTAATAGAATATGCAAGAAGAAAATTGAAAGAAAGCATCATTACATGAGCCTATATTTTTCTTTTAAAAGAGAGAAATGTGAATCTTTTAAATAATCATATTGCTTTGATACTCACGTGCAGTAACAACTATTACAGTGCACAAAATGTAATAAAATAAGATTTTCAGCCAGGCCATCGCTATGATCGTTTCTGCACGGAGGATCGACAAACTTGATGTACACTCTTAAGATTAAACTGTATAAGTAGTCTCAATTATCACTGTGACCCTACTCTTATATCGGTTCCGTTTAAAGACGTTGCTGTTATTACGTTACGAAAAAATTCTTAATTAATTTCTTTGTTATTAGTAGTATCATTAGTTAATCATTTAAAAAAAAAATGAAAATTTCTATTAAATTAATAGTTATCCAAATCTCACGTTTGCTATAATTAGTATATGTATCACGAGATTCAAAATTACAGAAACTTAGTGTACAAACGCTGTCAGCAATACTGAAATACTTATTTTATTTTAGAACGTGAGAAAGCAAAAGCATATATATACACATTCATTTTTGCAGCTAAGCCAATTCAGCAGCTAAGCGATTTCGAGTCGAGTAGTGTTGTGTAATATTTAGCGCTACAGACGTAATTTTTCATTTCTTTACGTATTGTTTTATATTACTCCCTCATCATGTATTAAACAGGAATTTTCCTTTTTTATTTTTTGTAAAATTGGTACCGATCTCTTTTTACAGTTCAAGCCAGAAGGTCCACCGCCCAAAAGAAAGCCAGGAGAGCTTCTACTAACGTCGAATAACGTTCGCTCTTTGCAAGATTTGCATCATTTCTTCTCGAGCCTTAGTCGCGCTTCGTGCGACACGTACGTGCCGATAAATAACACGCAACTGGAGACTGTAATCGAGCAGGACTTTCTTGAGAAAATGCCAGCTGTGCCAGCGAGATAGTAAAGATGCTAGTGAAACTGTATAAATAATATTCGTTCACATCGGAAAGAGATATGTCGTTAAGACATGCGCTTTATCCTTTGATATATTTATAAAAAATATATATACAAGATATCACAAAGATAATCACTTAAGTCTATACGTAAATATTACATCGTATAAATGTGGCACAATTATAATACAGGCATTCAAGAAATGCGCCAACTGCTCCTGTTTTCTGCCATTAAATGTTTCGAAGCATTCGCTTAACAAACAAAAAAAAAAGAGAGAAAAATATATTTATTCCGTCAATAAAAGTAAGTAGATAAATTTAAAAAAAAAACGAATATTTAGAAAAATTTTAATTACACAAAATGGAAGGATCGATATGTCGAAAACTATATGAATTCCTTTGTAGACAAATCGATCGTGAACGAAATGAAAAATTTATTTTATGAATTGAAAATCAGGAGTGAATCTGGAGCAGCGTAAAATAATTCGTTGATTTCTGTTACTAGTTTTTTATTGATTAAGCTTTAGACTTGTCTCCTCATTCGGTTGTGAATAGTTATCTGCGTGTATAATGTGGCTAAACTCGCTCGTTGGCCTGCTGTTGTAAAATTGTAAAGAATATGTACAGTGTAACATAACATTTATACAGAACATAAAAAAAGGTCTTCCCGCTATTTTCTGACACACACACCTGTCATAATTTTCTCGCTGTTAATTTCCATTTCTCTTGCTTTAACTCCGTATCGTATAATTTAAAGTAACAAATCGTAAGAAATTTCTTCACAGATCTGAACAGCATACGTCACGCTGAAACACAGACAGTAAAAGACGAGTAACCGAAGATAAAAATTTAATTAATGCTTCGCTCGAAGTGCGCGAATTGTTGTATGTGAAAGTTCATAAGATTTCAAATAAGATGTAAAATCCCAGCAAAGTGAAGATATGTTGAGCTTTTTGTGTGTTTTGAATTATCTAACCAAAAAAACGGGTACATCATAAAATCTTATAAACTTTTATCTTAATTTTATCTAACATACATAAAATTATTATCTCCAACTCTTTTTATTTTAACAAATAGACTTTCTATTAAATGATAAATTAAGATTACATAATACATGATATATACGTCATATAAAAGACGCGTGCTTGAAATAACACGTTATATTTTTATGAGAAATTAGTTTAATATATATTGAGGAAAAAATCTAATGCCAAGAATGTCTACTTAATCCAGTGTATCTGTACAAGCTTCTGTATACAGCTAGAAATTAAATAAGAACTTAAAGATAATATTGAGATATATAATTAAAAATGTATGTCATCTATTTTGCTCAATAAAAATTTTGAAATTGTTCCAGACGTCTGTGTTAAGACGCATTATTGTTACGATCTTATGCGTTGCTAAAGATCTCTCCTTTTAATTAAAGTAATTTCTTTAAAGTCAGAGTAGTTCTTTCCCTACAATTGTTTTTGTCAGTAAATAAATCAATGAGATGACGGAATTACTTTGATAGATATTCTTTGTCAATAATAAGCGTGTCAATAAGTGCTTAGTGATGTGTAAAATTTATATTATAAATTATATTTGTATATTACATATATATATATATATATTCATATCTACATAATATTATATAAATTTATATTATAAATTCTATATATACGCGACTCGTATGTATCTGATATAAAGCAAAAAAAATCGGCTTACACAGCGGATTTATTTTTTTATATGCAAGCGCGTATTTTGGAAAGCGTGCAAGTCGCATATACAATATGCAGTAACGTAACGTCAAATCATTAGATACTAGCTCGATAAATCGATTAATTTCGTCATATTTTGCGTTGCTATTATTACAGCGAAAATAATTTCTTAAAGGATATAACATTTATTTTAAGGCAATATTACTGAAGTTACTACTTGACGCTAAACCGCTGGAATAATATAACAAATTCATTTTACTGCTTTAGCAAGGGCTTGTGCAAGAAATCTGTTGTTTATTGAACAGAAAAATATAATTATAGTTATGTATATCTAGTTATGTATATTTATATACTATATTATATATGTTAGTTATATAAACAATTAGCGATTCGGTTTTAGTAAGTTTATTTCTTAAATTTTTCTACGAATTAATTTCTTTTTTTATATGATATATCTGCGCGGTTTGTGAGTGTCAGGTTTAACTATGAAAATATCTAACAGAAGTGGTGAAATATGTCAGAGAAGTATTATGTACCTTCATCGAAATTATGTCGTTTTGTACAACAAATATTCGATCAAAGACAGATACTGTAAATCACTGCAATTTTAAGCAGTGCACTCGCTTTTATTATTAGTCCGTTATGTTGAAAGAAATAAAGTTTATACTAAAAAAAAAAAGTTCGATCAATCAGTGCAATAAATTTTATTAAAAATAGAGATTATAAAAGATAACAGTATAAAAGTATATAGTATCCTTTTCTATTCCTTGAAGCCTTAATCATGCCTTCGAATTTTAACAACTGCTTTTAAAATCTCGCCATACTGAAGTCTATTCCTTTTAGCTGAACTCTTGCACTATTCATCTTTCCTCTTTTTTTTCTCCAACATATGAAGAAAAAGGAAAGATGAACCATGCAAGAAGTTCGGCTGAAAAGAATAGACTTGAATGAAAAAAATCGAACAAAGCTAAAAGATCTTTAAATTTCCCAGACAAATTTCATACGCTGGGATGCGTTCGAAGTCTCATCCAAGTGCTCCTCAGGTATCACTTTATCCTTGTTCAATTCACACTCGATGAACAACAAGGATAAAGCGATGCCTGAATGATAGGAATCTGAACACAGCCCTGAGAAAATGTTAATGACGAAACGAAATCTCGAGAGTGGTCTGTGAGGAAGGTAAATAAATACAAAATCCGGAAGTGTCACAATTCCGGAAGAAGACAGATGAAGGTCGCATTCTTGGGTTATAGAGGCCAATTCGAGGAAATCACACGAGGATTCTGCCTCGTCTCGATCATCGCGGTTGACGTCACGAGCCCAAAACGGTCGTTGTAAGATCGAAGCGTCCCATTTAGCCGAGTCTGGCTGTGCTTTCTCACTCACTCCTCCCAGCTCCGCCGCGTGGTCCTGCGTCCTGTTGGGCCAGGCAAAGCCAGGTCTCGCTCCGCGCGACTCTATTCTCTGATTCGACCGATTCGAGTAGGATTCGGAGTAATTGAAGCCTAAGCGGTGACGAGAGAAGAAAGAGAGAGAGAAACGGGTGGAAGTAACGGAGAAGATTTGAGAAGAGAGTTGCTGAAGAGTTGTAGAGTTCGCGACTTGGCGTCCGCATGGCGCATGGCGAGCACTGATGTAAACCGCCTCGAGAGTGCTAACGACGACTTTGCAGGACTTTGCCTACCTCCGGGGCGGAATGTCCGAGGGACATCGGTGAACGGCGAGCGAAGGGGGAACCGGTTCGCAACTTCGTGCGTTCACTTCGTGCGAAGACTGAGGGTTCTCTGCGCGCGAAGTGAAGAGGAAGGTGAGAGCGAAGTCGATTCCTCCGGAACAGGTGCGCGTTTCCTCGTGTCTTCCCCGAGTCCCCAGTATTATCGAGCCATCCGCGCGAACGTCGGCACTGTCGGCAGGGTATGCCTGCGCCAACGCGTCCCGGCCGTGCCAGCGTCGCGCATGGTGCGGTTCGTCGGCTAACCTAATTCGTGGATTCGTATCTTGGGTCTTGACTACGGGCGAGCGAGACAGGTCGAGAACGCATTTCCTCCCTACGATGAACGCGAATCTCTACACAGCGATGACCGCAGACAGGGTCATGTGGGACAAGGTCTGTCGGCTGTGCTCGGAAGAGAGGAACGAGATGCTGCCAATCTTTGGCGACGAGGGTCTGCAACGTAGAGTGGTGCAGAAGCTGCGCGCTTGCCTGCCCGTACTTGTGTACAAGACCGATCCGTTGCCGAAGCAGATCTGTCAGTTTTGCGCAGCTAGACTGGACGATGTCTATCAGTTCAGAGAGTTTTGCATAAATGTCTACAGGAGTATGCATACCGTGTTGCTCAAGTGCGAACAGATGGAGTCTGCTCAGATATTCCTCGATGCGATGATGAACTCGTCGGATCCATGTCAGGTTTGTTGAATAAATAATCTGCCTTAGGAAACATAATCGCAAATGTCTTATCAATGACTTCTTTTAAGAGACACAATTAACGAACGTCGTTTCCATCCTTGGCATTCAGTGAATAATAAAGATAGAATGATACTTGTCGATTATCTATATTTAGTCTCTTAAAAGAATAGCAACATAGTAAATATAAAAAGAATTGCGTAGATAATCAATTTGAACAGAGATTTCCTTTCTAATTGTTGCCATTTCCAATGCCAGGTTCAACTCTGCAAGGAAAAGTCTAGAGCTCCACCGCCGTTGGTTCCTTTATCAATTGTCATGCCATTTGATGATCTAGCGACGCCGATTAATCAAGCCAATCAGGATCATTTTCAAAATACCTGCATGGAAACTTTGTCTGAATTACCCTGCGAGGTAGAGATCAAGGAGATGAATACAGATGCAATTTTCAGTATCGAAACCGCCACTTGCGAACCGCTAAATAAGAAGCGTAAACTGTCAGAAATGTTTGATATGGATATACAGACAAAAGTGGAATCTGTCCTTATACCTGATATGGAAGGAACAAAAGCTCCTAAATCAAACTGTCAAATCAAGAAAGAAGAAAAACGAACCAGTATTTTGGAACAAGTGTTGACTGGTAATTTAACAATGAATAATCACCAGAACCTACAACCTGGAACAAAGTTAACTTCCGAATGGTGGTGTGCACCCTGTAATAATTATTACAAGTGAGTATACTCGCCGCATATTTCTGCAACATTTTCGAGATTACTGTGGATTCATTTGGTGACAAAAATTTGTAATTTTCAGAACAAAGGACAGTCTAATGACGCATATGCAATTACACTGCCCGCGTGTATATACTTGTAGAAAGTGCTCCGTGTCCTTCGAATCTGTTGAAATCTTAGCCAAACACGAAGCTAATAGCCATTTGAAGGTCAAGATGGATTTCACAGAAAACTTGAACGACTGTGATCAGTGTGACCGGCAGTTCGTAAGATGGGAAATGCTGAAGCAACACAGACTGCGCGATCATTTAGCTGAATTGACTGATGGAAGCAATACGCGGTGTTCGTTATGCAATAGGTAATTTGCGACATCGAGAGATATATTCGCCTCGTAAATTGTTTCTTTCTAAATTTTTTAAACATATATGCGTATATTTGTATATATGCGTGTATTTTGTTTTTAGATTCTTCCCTACAGTAGAATCTTATCAAAAACATGTTCAGTTACATCAAACAAACTCGGCGATGTCTCAGAAGTTACCATCTTCAGAATTTATGATTACAAAGATACCGGAACGAATTAGAGAAATTAAACGAGATGAACAGTACTGTGAAAGATCTCTCAAGTGTCCCACTTGTGGGAAGGTATAAAGTCGCATTTATGTTTTTATATGGAAATTCTACGTGCTTCGCATCCTCTATTGATTTTTGTATTGTCTATTATTGCAGATTTGCACCCAACAGAGCGCATTATCGAATCACATGCGCACTCATGAACCGAAGAAGCATAAATGCGACATTTGCGGTCGGTCATTCGGACTTCTTATACGCTTAGCTGGGCATAGAATAACCGAGCATAATGAACAGCCAATGATGTCATCAGTCTTGTCAGCAGTCGAGCAAGAGGAAGCCTTAAATGCTGAGAGGGAAGCAAGGGAAGCTAAATTTCGCAGTATCAAGAAAACTTATTTCGAGGTTTGAAATCTTTTCCTCTAATTATGAATTTACTTAGCTCACAACAAAGTGATTTGAATTCGTATTTATCATTTTGGAAATTTGTATTTATTTCTGCATACTTGTTGACACAGTGAAATAATATTTTTCCATTAAAATTTTTTTTCTTTTACAATATAGTTATAATAAAATTATATATTTGATATTATTCTCTAATTTTTTAAAATCTTACAAATACATACATAACAAACAAAACAAGATATAATATTAATTATAAATGCAAATGGAATGTAGGATTGCTCAAAGTAGCAAAGCGCTGCTTTGACAGGAAAAATATACAGACTGAACAATTGAATCAGAATATTTCTCTTTAATTCTTCATTTAAATTATTATCCTTTTTATTCATAGATAATGGAGAAGAACGATGTCCCAGTAGATGACGAATCTGTAACGAAACGCATTTCTGGTGGAAATAAAAACGTGGCGAGATGTGGCATTTGCTCACAATGGTTCAGCGATCATACGACAATGTTAACGCACCTTGAGACACACTCAGAGTTTCATAAGAGTTACACGTGTAACATATGTAAAAAATCGTTTAAGGAACAATCGCAGTTATTAAAGCACGAGGTAAATTTTCCGGCAAGACTGTTGTTACATATCGTTAGCCATTCATTGTCATTACATTTCTTTAAACACGGACTATCTCTTGATTAATAGGCTAGTCATAAACGTCAAACACTTGATAATGCCTCACTGTATACATCCGCTGTTTACAACAAATCATTAGTGGATAAGGCGCAGCAAAAAACACACACGGTGGTTAAAACCTATCACTGTGCAAAGTGTAATAAAATCTTTTTCAAAGAAGTATCGCTGCTCACTCATATATGCAGGAATGCAGCACAACTTGAAAAGAAAGTCGCTGAAAAGAAGTCTCGGCTAAAGACGTCGCTTCATGTTGGCAATAAGACACACAAGTGCTCCAAATGTGACGCGACCTTCGCAAGCTCGCAGTCACGAAACGCTCACATGAAAATGCACGCCGAGTACATGCGCGGCAGTACAGTACGTAACAAATGATATACTGCACGACTTCAACTACATGTCCAGTGACGACCTATATTGTGTGACTACATTACGTTCTAGGTGCAGACACACGAAATTAAAGTCGAAGCAGACGACGAACCGATGCCAAAATTGCGTCCGGAAACCCTGGAATATATATCTCCTATCGAGCCAAAGGTTGAAATTAACGAGCAGGGTACACCTCCGCCTCTTAAACGGACTCTCATTAAAACTAGTAACGGGTAATGTGATATATTTTGAGCTTTGAAAAATTTTCTGTCTTATTCTGGAAAATCTAATTCTCTATGCGGCGCATTTATTTTTAGGTATCGATGTGGTGTATGCCAATCACCATTCGTGTTGAGAGAATTAGCCGTGGCGCATTTGAGATCTGCACATCCCGTGATGCCATATCAGTGCCCGTATTGCAAGAAACGCTTCACGACGCAGTACACATTTGCCCATCATATTAAGACAGAGCATCCCGATGAACCTGAGAAATAAAAATTTGGATCACGTTAGAGAAAGTGGACAGATCTAGATTATATCACAGCATGTGCCTCGTATTACGTGTGAAAGAGAGAAAAAAAGAGGATTGTGTTTATAGATTGTATACGAAATGTGCGTATATATGTATATACTCCACACTGTATATTGTGTCGATTTTTTTGACTGTTAATTAGCCTTGAAAACTTTTCTACTACATAATTGTGGACGTACAACGTTAAAGTGTTTGTTACGCGAGGCTATTGATATTAGTACTTACACTGAACGTGCCTGTACAAGTGCTTTGTTTTACAACAATTACACGAACAATCGACAAATCTTATTCGAGAAAAAGCAGTCTCAGAGTAACGATAAGACGGATCTCGAGGATCGAAACATTCAGACGATCACGTAAATTTTAGCGACGACTAACGACAATAGAAATTTGCGCAATTTGTACCATACGATTTATATTTTAGATTTTATTATGTACATTTTCACGTGAGTCGTTATAATTAAATTAAATATAGTTACAGTAAATATATCAGGAACCTTGAAAATCTTGATTATTCTAGATCACGATTGTTCTAGAAACGTTCTCTGGATTCGATCATTGCAAATTATTCGATTTTGCAATATCATTGGTATTATCTTGCGTTTTTAACGATATAGCTTCTCGATATCGTCAATGGCCTGATATCACGGAGTGATATCGAAGATTCTAGGATGTTTAATTCATGTTACATTCCTTCTTAAGCAACGTTTCGTGCATCCTATTTTATATCACGGTTCCACCGTTGTGATCGCCTTGCGACGCCAAAGTCTCTCTTCGAGAATACCTAAGACCGCCGTGTCGTAAATGAAGAGTCTGGCGGTTCTGATCGACAGCGATGCCGCGTAATTTAAGTGTATACAATCTTTATAAGTTTATTTTATATATATACCTGATTTATATACAATAAACTATTACTGAAAATATTACAAATCTAAGCCCGGAAGTATTCTTATGTAATTATTCTGCATTATATTCAAACATATTGGTATTACTATAGCGAATTTACTGATACTTTAAGAATGCCCAATTTTAATGTAAATTTCATTTCACTCTTCTGTAAATCAATTTAGGTTGTTTTACTTTTCATGAAGATATTGCTAGTTGGGAATACAAATTAGTTCGGTCCGTTTTTAAAAGATGGCTCCAACTGTTCCAGCTGGTTCATAGTGACAACTGATTTTGGCGGTTTCAGAAACCTTAGACATCTGCTAATAATATTCAGTTTATATCGCTTTGAGTTTCATACAAAAACCTTGATTTTTACTGTGTTTGAAATGTCGAATTTTGTGTTAACCAAGCAGCATTTGCGGGAGGTTTTAATTTTCTCCTTTAATTGGAAGAAAAGTGCAGCTGAAGCCCATCGAATGCTTGTCGAAGTTTATGGTGACACTGCTCCAACTGATAAATCATGTAGGGAATGGTTTCGGCGTTTCAAGGATGGAAATTTCAGCGTTGAAGACAACCCTCGCTCTGGACAGCCAAAAAAATTCGAAGACCAAGAATTAGAGGCATTACTTGAAGAAGATCAGAGTCAAACGCAAGAGGAGCTTGCAGAATCATTGGGAGTAACTCAACAAGCCGTTTCTGTACGATTGAGAGCCATGGGAATAATTCAAAAACAAGGTAGTAATAGTCAGCGATGGACAATATTTTAATTAACCTGTTCATTCATTTTGTTTTGAAATAAATGCATGTTTTTTGAACACAAAAAAACGGACCGAACTAATTTGTACTCCCAATAGCAAATGAAATGTATATATAAATATA